GTATTGAAAATAAACCTAACCCCATCTTTCATAATTCCTCCTCTACTAAGGGAGCCCAGAGTTTAACCCTTCACACATTAAAATGAATAGCAATTAATCTGTCATTAGTATGGTGCTCCCAGCCACATAAAACCTAACTGCCCAAGACTCAAAGTAACCCCATTATCACAGCTCCAAATGCCCCAGCGTATGCTTTCCCTTACTGCTTCAGAGGCAGTGGTCTAGCAGGGAATTCTAATTAATTATATTAGGTCTAAAGGACATGGAAGGTGGAGTGGAAGAGGTCCATGGGTTTGTGCTAATCCTTTAAAAGTAGAAGCTATTTGGAACTGTCAAACAAATCAGGAAGCTACTACCTAACATTTGTAAAGGGATTTAGCGACAATGTGGTTCCTGTAACTGACCTTACAATAAAGAGGGAACCAGACAACGTAATCTGGACTGAAGCCTGTTTAAAAAAAAAAAAAAAAAGAGGCTTTGTCTAAAGGGCAAGTTTTAGTCAGCCCTGATTTCAGCAAATCTTTTATACTGTCTACTGATGCTTCTAATATTGGATTAGCTCCGTACGTATGCAGGCTGGGGAGGGGCATAAAACAACAGTGTTGTGAGCCATCCAACCGAACTGTAAACCCCGCATATAATGGAAACCACTTCAAGCCAGGGGCACTGCAAATTAAAGAGCTGCTTTACTATAGAAATTGTTATCTCCCACCCTGAAAGAGGAGGTTGACTAATTACCGGACAGGCTATAAGTTGATTTTACTGCAGGAAATTTTACATATCTGGATTGAGAAATCAACAAAACGACTAAAGACTTATTGTTCTGCTCTCCTGCCTTTGACCCAATCACCTGAGTTCACAGCTCAGAGCACTTGGCAGGAAGTGAATAAAAAGAAGGAACAAGGATCTCTATTTTGCTTGGACTCAGAGTGGGAAGGAGGCAAAGTGTTTCTAGATATAAGAAAGATATCCCCAGCAGCTTAGCCTGGGTTAGCCATAAAGGAAAAACAGAGCTTGCTAATTACAGGAGCCCTTATCACCTCATTCATGTGTCCATGGTTGCTTGCTTTAAACTTGTAAATCTCTCTCATTTCCTTTTCCTGTTTAATAAACCTTCATATAGTTTACTATATGATTGGCTACAAGCCTTGTCTTTGGTATGAGATCTGAATCACAATTGACGTGTGGTAGGTGACTGGTCTGTCGGGATCACAAGTAATTTGAATACTGTCAGGACTGATTGTTGGTGCCACTGGAAGTAACCAGAAATAATATTGCTTTGTCCTGCCTGGTTTTTCTCTGGATTCTTGGCAGTATAGGAAAAATGTATATAACCATGGTAATGATCATTGAACAAGGAATGTGTCTCCCCCCACCACCACTGTGCTAGCTCCAACCATCCCTGGAGCAATTCTTCTGGAACTTTTTGTTTTTTTTTATATGAAGTGGTTCTACGATAGGCAGATTCGCTGCTTTAATAGAATGTGGCTTATGAAGCCAAGTAGCTCGCACTCATGGTCTTTGGAGAAAATATCTGCTCAGACTGTCAGTAAGCCTGTTTTGTGCTCCAGGTAGGGGAACATCAGACAGGGAGACATGATACATACACCCATTCCAGCCTCTATGCATAGGCAGGAGTATCTTGTCCCTTCTTGCTTGCTGATAAAATCAACTTTTTCCTGGTGACTGATATGACTACGGCATGCATTCCAGATTAACTGTAGGAAGAGTTTGCACCTTTAGCATTGAACATTCCTCTAATATATTGATATGGAGACTACAGTCTTGCAGTGTCCAGGCAGAGAGGAAATTTTTTTTTAAATCAGATTTTAAAATTAAATACAGGTTTATACTTTAGACAAATAAATTTCTTTAAAACTATATTTGAAATTGACAACCTATAAAGGCCAATCTATTAATCTTCAAATGATGTAAAACCAAAAATATTAAATAGCTATTACATTAAGAAAATTTTCTGCCAACTTATATAGGAAGTTCATTGAACTGGTACAAGTAACTGTTAGCACCTAGTACCATAGTTTGCTGAAGTTTTTAACGCTTTTTTGGCAGCAACAGTCTCTTCTGCAAAGAGAACACATTTTCTTCATTTCAGTTTATTCAACTAGTTTTGTTTGTTTTTATCCTCCACTCCATAGATTTAAAACAAACAAAGAATCAAACAAACAACCCACAGAGTGAGAGGATGAGATCTATTGGTTCTACTATCTTGGAAGCACATGGTGACTAGATAGGATTAATTCAATTTACTAATTATAGTTAGTACTTCCTTTATTTAATAAAAGTTAGTTTTAAACGCAAAGCATGTTTTCATAAATGTCTGGATAATCCAGAACATTTAAGGTAGCTCTGTTCAATTTTGTTTAAATCAATATGCTATTTTTGTGCACCATTAATTGAATTTGAATTTCCAGCCAAATAGGACTAGATACCAATTGCAAATAAAAAAATTCAAATAAGAAATGTTACACTCAATGTTTGCTAGCATTAAAAAGCTAAAAGAATCTACTATATAATTGCTTAAATAAGTGCATAGAAGTATATCTTGATTAGCCGACAGAAGCACCAAGCATGGACCATATGGGCACTGGTACCAAAATCTCTAATCAGCAGTGCTTAGGTATGCTCACACATCTGAAATGGAGCTTCCATAAGGACAATTTGAAGAAAAAACGGGTATGCTTTGATGACACAGATCAGCTGCAACTACAGGCAGTCCCCGGGTTACGTACAAGATAGGGACTGTAGGTTTGTTCTTAAGTTGAATCTGTATGTAAGTCGGAACTGGCGTCCAGATTCAGCCGCTGCTGAAACTGATCAGACCAGGGGGACGGGGAGCAAAGCGGCGGAACACGCGGGCAGCGGACAGCCCAGACGCATCTGGGCTGTCCGCTGCCCGCGTGTTCCGCCGCTTTGCTTCCTCTCCCTGGTCTGCTGGAGACCAGGGAGAGGGAGGGCCCCGTTCGTAACTGCGGATCTGACGTAAGTCGGATCCGCGTAACTCGGGGACTGCCTGTACTGCCAGGACCTTTGTAAACACTGAGCACTGTTCACAGGGGTGATGTATTGGTAATGTCCAAAGCCAGTAGTAAACCTGGGCAACTCCTGTGTGCTGGGTATATGTCTAAGTGAAAATAAAGCTTCTTTCTGGTTTTGCCCACAAAAGGGCATGATACTATATAGTGGTTATTCTCTAAGGTGCTACAGAACTACTTGTTTTTAAAGTTACAGACTGACACAGCTACCCCTCTGAGTCTTTTGGGTTGACTTCTAGGAGAGAGGGAGTTTAAGTGACAGTTGGTGCCAAGAATCTACGTAGCTGAACAATGGGTTTGTCTCTCAGGAGGGGATGCCAGAGACAGTGTACATGCTCTGAGAATATGCTTGCAGATACAAGTGAGGGGCAATGTCTGGGCTCCACTAAGGCTCTGAAGGCTTGAGAGAGACAGCAGATGAGACCAGAGAGACAGCAGATGAGTTATGTCATAACGGTCGAGTTGAGTTCCCACTTGTTTTAGGATTTTCTCTGATTACGCCTATTTAAAGGTTAATGACTGATGATTAGTAATGAAGTCTTTTACAGCATTCACATTTCTGTACAAATTAGATATATTTTTAAGTACAATTTCTTTAAAATAAAAATTTGAAAAATTATTACAGTAAGAAATTATTTTTATGCATGGGAACCACAAACATACATGCAAGTCGCAATCACTTCTATTTGGGGATGCTGCTGCCCTTAGGTTTACTGCATCCAAACCTTATGGCTGTGTCTACATTGGGGCACTTATTCCGGAAAATCAGCCACTTTTCCGGAATAAGCTGCGAGCTGTCTACACTGGCCCTTGAATTTCCGGAAAAGCACCGACGCTCTACTGTACAAAATCAGCCGCTATTCCGGAAAAGCTACGCTGCTCCCGCTCGGGCATAAGTCCTTATTCCGGAACACTGTTCCGGAAAAGGGCCAGTGTAGACAGCCCAGTAGTCTTTTCCGGAAAAAAGCCCCGATCGCGAAAATGACGATCGGGGCCCTTTTCCGGAAAAGCGCGTCTACATTGGCCACAGATGCTTTTCCGGAAAAAGGGCTTTTCCAGAAAAGCAGCCTGCCAATGTAGACGCTCTTTTTCCGGAAATACTTATAATGAAAAATATTCTGTTTTAAGCATTTCCGGAAATTCATGCCTGTGTAGACACAGCCTATCTGATGCAGTCACTTGTAGGTAGGGCTGCCTGATTATTATTTGTTATTAATTATTTTTCTTCACATCAATAGTACCTGAAGGTCTGAACAGAGATTAAGGTGTAATTATGCTGAACAATGTACAAACACATAGTGAAAGAAGATCACTACTCCAAAGGCCTTGCAACCTAAATACACAAGACAGCCAAAAGGTGGGAGAGGAAATGGACAATGACTTGCCACAGGTCACACAAATCTCCTGGCTCCCTGTACAGGACTTTGCCCATGGGATTACACTGCCTCTCTGCTGCACCCTTTCTTCTAGGTTACCCTAGTTTGACTAGAGCTGAACAAAATAGTTGACAACAAATGTATTAATAAAGTAACCTTTTTTTCCTGTTCCTGACCTGTCTACAAACATAGAGGGGGGAAGTTTCCCTGTCCGCACATTGCAGATAGATGACAATTCAAAGACAACAGGGAAGAGATACACAGAGGGAGTAATGAAACACAAAAGGACAAGAGAAAGAGGAAAATCAATCACAGAGCAAGTGTTGCCTAAGAGCAGCTCATCCAGGATCACCTGACCTACGATAAATTAAATAAATATTGAAAATGAAACACCTACTCATGACATTTGATATTTTAGACACATTTTTTGCCTAAATAACTTGGCAGAAGCACTGCAAATGACATTTTTAGCTATTATAAAACAAAAGAAAATGAAAAAGAGTTAGCAGTTACATCCTTGATAATCCATAGTTGTGCAAAGATTTTCAAATATATTTAATTACTTGCTTACCATATGTGATTTTCCCTTTTTCTTCTGCATCTATAGCTTTAAAAAGGTGTGTTACATTAAGCTCTGACACACCCAAGGCAGTCTTCAGAATGCAAGCTAAGTCGTCTTCTGTTATAGTTCCATTTTGTGATTGATACATCTATGAAATAAGGCAGGAAGGCAAATCATTGCAAAGCCAAGTACTAATTTTCAAAAGAGCAACACATTTAAAATAATGTTATATGGGTAAGCTTTCTTTTTGAAAAGTCAAATTAATCTCAAAGTGATAACAATCCAGTGAGAGCTTGTGGGTGGCGTATCTGAAATAAATGAAGACTAGACACAACCAAGTCATTAGTGAACCACTGTATACTTAGTGAAAAAAGACTGATAAATCCTTCCTTGCTGGATGCTGAACTGATGATTTTTCATATATAAAGTACAGCAACTCTACTGCTTGAAATAAAGGTCAAGAAGAAGAACTGCTACTAATAGTAGTGAATCTTTGCACACATACAGTGCTTTCCATGTGAGGATCTCAGAATACTTTATAATAGTTAATTAATAAAGCATCATAAAACTTTGTAAAGTAGTTGATTAATTCCATTTTACAAACACGGAGGCATAGACTTTGGAGCCCGACTTGAAATTCATCAGGACTAATTTTCAGATGTATGATAAAGATATTATGCCACAATGGGAATAGCCGATGAAACAAAAAAGGTAGAAAATTTTATATAGTTAAAAGGAAATACCTTGTCACACACAAATTAGTACAGAACTCACTGCAACAGGACTTCAAAAGCTTAGCATAATCAAAAAGAATTAACTATTTTATGGATAACTTATATAGTTACAAGAACATTCTTACACTTTCCCATTAAAAGTCTAGCTACTGCTGGAGACAGAATGCTGGAACAGAAAAACTAGCTTGATGTAATTCATAAATGCTCAGAGGCCAATAATGAAAGTAGGATTCTGCCAGAAGGGGTTGGAAGAGCCTCATAGCTCTTTGCTGGCTCAGACAAAGATGGTTCTCAACTCCTGTCTCAAGTATGAAGGCTAATATTGTCAGGCTCAGGGGCTTGCCTCAGGCTATATAGATCAATTGAAAGATAGACTTTAGAAGTAGCTCATACACAAGATTTCTACGAATCTTGCAGTTTCTGCATTATACTTTATCAATATTATTTGGAAGAAAGAAAAACTTTCACACTTGTTGCTAAATTTCTTAAAGGATCCATATTAAATGTAATTTTAACTTATAAACTATGTACTGTAACTTTTCACAAAACTTTGCATTCTCATTCTGTATTCAAACAGTGAGACTTGGGGATACACTGTGCTATTTATAAAATAACAATAAGTGGCTCAAGCCTTGTGTTAAGTGCAAGACTCAGCCTTCACAATGTAACCGTGACCACCAATTCCACAAAATAGCCTAAGAAAGGGAGGCATGCAACATCTTGTAAGGAGCCCGGCTCACACTCTCCCCTCTTAGTGCTGCCCTAGAAGGCCAAAAAACATGAGCTGTGGGAATTCTGTTGGGTGTATGCCAGAAAATACAACTCCAGGAATAAGAAACCTATTAGATGAAGCCTTCAAAGAAGCAGAAATACAGGCAACAATTTTCGCTTTCTTCTTCTGAATCTCCATCTCTCACCCACCTACTCCTGTCTTCATTCCTATTTCCATTAAAGCTAGTTATGTTAAATCTCAAGTGATAGAGCCACCACCATAATAATTTTTTCCAACCCAGGTAATTTAAATGAGGATTTAATCTTTGCAAAACTAATTAGGATTGTCAAAATGTTTCAACTGACCCATGAGTATGTATCTTTGAGCAATGGTCCTCAGCACATGCTAATTTGTATCAATGTGTGAGCAACTGTCTTACTTATAAGTGGTATTTAATTTAGTTGAAGGATCTCTTAAAGTGAAAGGTTTCAATATTTTGCTTTAGAGTTTGAAAAATGTATCAGATGCTTACCAGCCAGAGGTAAAACCTACCAGACACAGCAATCCCAAAGATGGGAAGGTATTCAATACCAAAGTCCAATGATAGCACTCTAGTGTAAATCCAAGGCCCCCTCTCCTTCAGTTGCTAGAGAAGGGGGAGGTGCTGGAAATGCTGCCAAATCTTTGACCATGCTTGAGAACCTTTGTTACCAGAGGGTTTCATGGGAAGATATACAGAAGTGATTCCCCCCAAGTCAGGGGGGGCCACTTCAGAAATTTTTGAGGTGGTCCCAGGCCACCCTGGAAGGGGCAGGACCTCAGGCGGGAGAGGCGGGGCCAGGACACTTCTGTTCTTCATCACCCAGAGATCCTGATTAGTCTGGGGATGGGGATGGGGAAGCACACAAAGTCTTTGCCCTCCACCCCCCCGAGAGAACTGCCAGCTGTTCTGAAGAGCTGGCGATTCTCCCTCTAGGTACTTGTGCCCCTAGCAATGGGAGGAGACTTTGCGTGCTCCCCACTGCTGCCCCCAGGTCAATCAGGGCCTGGGGAGGAGGCGCACGTGAAGTTTCTCACTCCCTGCCCCACCCTGAAAGGGGGCACTATGCTTGGAGTCAACGGCCAGCTGATTGGCTTGGGGACAGGGGAAGCACGTGAAATCTCCTCCCACCCTGCACCCCTCACAGGACCAATCAGAGCTTGGGGGCAAGGGGAGCATGCAAAACCTCCTCCTGCCTTGTTAGGACTGCATGGCACTGGGACCTGGGGGTGGGGAAAGCAGCAGGGCCTCTGTGGGATGGATCAACTTGCTTGACAGGCCGGGTCTGGCCCACAAAGGCCCTTTTGCCCACCCCTGCCCTAAGTGAATGGAGAAGGAATTCCTTACTAGAACACTGAGGTATACCTTGAGCTGGGCTTTGGGATATCTAGTGGATCCTTCCATTTTTATGGTTGGGTTGGCACATGCATCCTGATTGGCAGGGACTCCAGAACACCAACCAACCCCTGGATGTTCCTAGGAGGGGGCTTTGGCCCACAATGCCAACGCCTACCTTAAGGCAGTGAGATAACTTGCATACACATTAATCTTTTCCTGTAAGTAGGGAACAGAACTACTTATTAACAGAATAACATATTGCGGTCCTGTTGCTTTTTCTCACAAATGGCTGAGCCATGGAGCATTCATTTGCAGATGTATCTGATTCAGGGATTCATGTGCCTTTTCCTTTAGGTTAGATAAAATTGCTACCTCAGCCTGTTCAAGGGGCTGGATGTGTACCAACAGAGATATTGCTTCTTTAAAAGACTTTTGCCAGGTACTATACTCTGGGGCTACGTCTACACTGCAGGCTTCTTGTGCAAGAACTGTTTTGTGCAAGAGTTCTTGTGCAAAAGGTCTTCCACAAGAGTGCGTCCACACGGCCATGTGTTTTTGCGCAAGAGATGTGCTTTTGCGCAAGAGCATCCATGGCAGTGTGGACGCTCTCTTACACAAGATAGCTCTGATGGCCATTTTAGCCATAGGGCTTTCTTGCGCAAGAAATTCATATTGCCTGTCTACACTGCCTTCTTGTGGAAGAGCTCTTGTACAAGAGGGCTTATTCCTTGTGGAGAGAGGAATAACTCTTCCAGAAGAAGCCCGGTTTTCCAACGCTGTACTGTAAATTTACTTGCACAAGAACGCACGTGCAGTGTACACACTGCAAGTTTTTGCACAAGAACAGCTGTTCTTGCGCAAAAAGCCTACGGTGTAGACGTAGCCTGGGGGGAAAGTACTCCACAATGCTTGGTCACCAGCAAGCTGTAACATTTTAACAAAATCATCTTCGGGCAGTGTAAACACTTAACCTATAACCTCCACATAGTGTGCACAGAAGAATCTTCTATTGGTACAACCTGATTGGCCACCAAATGTAGTATTTTAATGTCTATGACTACTCAGTATGGTATGGAGTATCAGAAGAAATGCTATCTCCAGAGTGCACCTCAAAATATAATTCCCGGAGATATGAGTATTGGTGGAATATTTCCAGCTGAGCATAAACTCCTCATCGACAACATCCCCATAGCAGAGAAAGGAGGCTCCAATTCAGGTTGGGGCTGGGATAGGTACAAAGGGAACAATTTGGGTAAACACAATGGATGGAGAAAGTCTGTGGGGCCTGGGTGTGAGTATTGACCATGACTAGGGCTTGCCAAGCGGCGGCAAGCCCCACTCGCCAGCCGCGTGGTTTCATGCTGTTCTGCTCATGCGCAGATCGCTCTGCACCGGCTCTTCCGGGTCATAATCTACTCGCCTGTGGCGAGTAGATTACATTATTTGTTGATATTTGTCGAGCCCTGACCATGACTGACTTGTCATTATTGTTTGCATGACAGTGGACTGCAGGTGACCACCCTTCTTGGTGAGTTCTGAAGAGATTGCATCTGCTGTGCTGGTTGGCCCTAACTCAGGATATGACGATAATGCTCCTAGCTTTGTCCTGCCTGTGGCACTAGAGTGGGAGCATTTCTTTTTTTTTATTGGTTTCAGTTAAGAAATTACAGCCTCACTCACAGTGGATGCTTGTGACACCATGTCTTCTAAGCCCCTGACAAAATTGATTATGGTTGGATAATCAATTGTCTCCCCCCCCCACCCCCCCGGTATGTTGAAAGTATATGCTACTCCTCTGTCTCATCTCTTTAATCTGTGTCTCTCCTCCCCCACCCCCCAGTTCTGTGTCAATCTTTCGATCTTCCCACTACTTCAGAACTTCCCTCTTAGCGGTCAGTTTCCACATCCAAAAGAATGGGGTTAGGTTTACTTAACTTCTCCTCCGCTACCACTGTACTCAGTCCTCCCCCTCCCTTTCCTCCGTTCTGTTTGCCAGTGGCCTTTCACTTTAAAATAATCAACTTCCTCATTTAACTTCTCCTGCTGCAGCAGTTTCTGTTACACAGCAATGAGCTGTGCTGCCCTGATTCTCCTAGCTTCTTTGCCCAGATGCTGGTAACTGGTTCTAGGGATTGTTCTGTCCTTTGTGGTTCCACCATACTAATAGGGACAGGAACCACTATTTGGCTTCTTACCTCCCCAGGAGCTCTCTGTGGGACAGCCTGCACTTCTTTGTACACTTTCCCTCCTGCAGCTAAAATGCTTTCTTTAGCATTCAGCTCCTGCAACCTCCAGAATTTGTTGGTTTGCCTTGTCTTTCCCAA